TTATTCCCTACTGTTTAAATTAAATTAGGGCATGGATATTGAAGAATGTTGTTGTTTTTTCTAATGGAAACTTTCCTCCTGAGAATGTGTTGACATTGAGACTTCAGTAGACGGAATCTGAGTCAGCTTGAAAGGTATACTTTGTGTGTGCATGAGTGTGCACTCAATACAGTGATTAAAGATGATATAAAAAGACTTAGCCAAATTTAAGCATAAGGTCCAATTCTTTCTCAGAAACTGAAATATCAGTAGGACGTTGCAGCATCTGCTGATATGACCACTGCTACTGCGGTCTCACCAGTGCTGAGTAGAGGGGAGTAATCCCCTCCCTCGACCTGCTAGCTACGTGCTTTCTAATGCAGCCCAGGATGCCGTTGGCCTTCTCTGCTGAAAGGATGCATTGCTGGCTTATGTTCAACTTGTTGCCTGCCAGGAGCCACAGGTGCTTTTCTGCAAAGCTGCTTTCCAGCCAGTCAGCCCCCAGCCTACATTGCTGCATGAGGTTATTCCTCCCCAGGTGCAGGACTTCATACTTCCCTTTGTTGAACTTCATGAGGTTCCTCTCCGCCCAACTCGCCAGCCTGTCAAGGTCCCTCTGAATGGCAGCACAGCCCTCTGGCGTATCAGCCACTCCTCCCAACTCTGTATCATCTGCAACTCTGTCTCATCACCTAGGTCGTTCATGAAGATGATAAACAGCATTGACTGTGGTATTGATCCCTGAGGTGCTCCACTAGTGACTGGCCTCCAGCCAGACTTTGTGCTGCCGATCACAACACTTTGAGCCCAGCAGTTCAGCCAGTTTTCAGTCCACCTCACTGTCCATTAATCTAGTCCATACTTCATTAGTTGGTCTATGAGGATGCTATTGGAGACAGTGTCAAAAGCCTCATTGAAGTCAAGATAAACAACATCCACTGCTCTCCCTTCATTCACCAGGCTAGTCATTTCACCACAGGCGGCTACCAGGCTGGTCAAGTATATTTTCCCCCTTTGTAAATACATGCCAACTATCCCCAATTACCTTTTTGTCCTTAATATGTTTAGAAATGGTTGCCAGGAGGATTTGCTCCATCATCTTCCCAGGGACTGAGGTGGGGCTGACTGTACTATAGTTCCCCAGATCCACCTGCTTGCCCTTCTTGAAGACAGGAGTGATGTTTGTTTACTTCCAGTCCTCAGGAACCTCTCCCAAACATCAAAACCTTTCAAAAATTATCAAGAGTTGCCTTGCAAAGACATCGCCCAGCTCCCTCAGCACTCGTGAGTGCTTCCCATCAGATCCCATGGATTGGTGTATGTTCACTTGGTTTAAATTGTTCCCCAGCTTGATCCTCCTGTACCAAGGGAAAGTCTTCATCGCTCGAAACTTCCCCACTTGTCTCAGGGGCCTGGAGCTGCTGCAAGCAAATCTTACCAGTAAAGACCAAGCTGAAAAAGGCACTGAATGCCTTGACCTCTTCCAGGTCCTTTGTCATGAAGACCCCTGCCCCTTTCAGCACCAGGCCCATGTTTTCTCTAGTCTTTCTCTCGCTGCTGATACTCCTATAAAAATCTTTCTTGTTACCCTTTATGTTCCTTTCTGGGTTCACCTCCAGATGGGCTTTGGTTTACCTAACCCCAACCTCCATGCTTGGACAGGGTCTCTATATGCCTCCTGGGTCACCTGTCCATGCTTCCACCTCTTGTATGCTTCCTTTTTATGTTTGAGTTTTGTTAGGAGCTCCTTGTTCACCCATTCAGGCCTCCTGTCACCTTCACTTGATTTCCTGCACATCAGGATGGACAATTCTTGAGTTTAGAGGAGGTGACCCTTGAAAAATCAACCAGCTCTCCTGGACCCTTCTTCTCTCCAGGACTGTCCTCCATGAGATTCTTCCAAGCAGGTCCCTGAACAGGCCAAAATCTGTTCTCCTGAAGCCCAGGGTTGTAATCTTGCTATTTGCCTTGTCCCCTCCTCTCAGGATCCTGAACTCCACCTCCTCTTGGTCACTGCAGCCAAGGCTGTCCTCGACCTTAACGTTCCTGACCAGTCTTCCCTGTTTGTAAGCAGGAGGCCCAGCAGATCACCTTCCCTCATCAGCTCCTCAATCACTTGCATCAGGAAGTTGATGAACGCGCTCCAGAAACCCGAATTGTTTGTGCCCTGCTGTGTTGCCCTTCCAGGAGATATGTGAAGGTTAAAGCCCCCAAAAGGACCTGGGCCTGTGAACAAGAGGCTCCCTTCTCTTGTCCAAGGAAGGCTTCAGTCAATTCTTCTCGATCAGGTAGTCTGTAGCAGACATCCACAACACCGCCTATATTGACCCGCCCTCCAATCCTACCCTATAAACTCTCAACTGACTACATCATTCGTCCCTAGGCAGAGCTCCACGTATGCCCACTGCTCTCTTACATAAAGGGCAACTCCTCCTTGCCTTCTGGGTCTGCTCCTCCTAAGGAGTCTGTATCCATCCATGACAGCAGTCATTTGAGGTATCCCGCCACGTCTCTGCGAATCCAATGAGATCATAGCTCTGCAACAGCATGCAGACCTCTAACTCCTCCTGTTTGTTCCCCATGCTGTGTTCATTAAAGTACAGGCACTTCAGACGGGCACCCAGTTGGTCCTGATTTCACAGAAAACATATGAGATTCTCTCATAAAGCTGTCTTCTCGGCACGGTGCTTATTTGTGTGCCACACACTTCAAGCAGGCCCCCAGCCTTGCCAATCCAGTCCACCAATTCCTCACTTGCTTGTGGCTCGTCATCTAGCTCCCACGTAGTTCCTAATTTAAAGCTCTCCTTACCAAGTTGGCCAGCCTGTTGGCAAAGGTGCTTTTCTTCCACTTGATCAGGTGGATCCCGGCTCTCCCTAATAGTTCTAAGTCCTCAAAGAGGGTCCCATGGCAGTAAAAAAACAAATCCCTGTTGCTCACATCCAGCTATGCAACCAGTTGCTGATTTGCAGGATCCATCCACTTCTCTTCAAGTCCCTTCCCCTTTCCAGGAGAATCAAGGGAAAAAAACGCATGGGACCCCATGCCCATAACCGTTACCCCCAGGGCCATGTAGTCACTCTTAATATACTCCAGATTTCCCTAGGCAGTATCATTTGTGCTCACATGGACGAGCAGCAGCAGGTAATAGAGATATGAGACACCAGACATAAGAGACCATGACTATTTTTCAGGCATTGTTCAAATCAGATGACAATTTTGGAACAGCTAGTTACTGAGCTCAGACCCAGCTTGGGCAGCGTGACTCTTCTGCGTTGGCTTGAAAGGACTCCTACTTTCCATCTCTTTTTGGTTCTTACGTGTACGACGGAAAATGCAGCAACGCATAGAATGGATGAGAGCTGATTTTTCTTTCGTCTGTTTTTCTGGTTTTACAACACACCATTATTGCAGAGTCTAAAGGCTTTGAATGTCAGTAGAGCCCTCACTGGATGAAAAACATGGCAGTACCAGAAAATTGGAAGAAGCGTGCTTTGCCCTTGCTTTTGAGCAAGGCAGACTATAAAAAGGTGGCAGCACTACCATGTTACCCACCATGCTGAGTAGTTTGGCCGTAGTCATTCAGAAAGTTTGTGGCAGAGCCATGAACTGAACCCTCGGATATCCTGTTTTGTAGGACAGGGATTTATCCATAAAAGCAGTCTCCTCCTTATACCCTAAGATGCAGTATCAGCGCAAGCAATACTCTGGAGATTTAGAATTTAAAAGCATTCCTATTTTGTTTTTGAAAGTATGCCCACTTGAACTGACTGTGAAAATAACCTCCATTTACCTTCTTGGAACAGTACCGTACAGCAGCTACAGTACAGTGCCCAATAATTTTACATCTTCCTCATAGGAAACTGATAGGTGTGGATACATATGAGATGAGATACAATTTCAGGCAAGTATGACAAGATCTGATTTTCAGAAGTGCTGACACATTCCACCCTCTTGGACCTTCACATGGCTGGTGGACACTCAGCCACTCCATAAGTCAGAAGTGCAGTTATTTAATGTATGTAAAATACTTTTATTCCCATTTCTTTTCTTAGGCTACTAGAGAAAGCTGCTGAATACTCAGCCAAGAAGCATTAAAATATTCTATTGCTCATAACTTCCTGATATGCCCCTTGCGAGTAGTGCAACATTCATCAAAGATGTAGTGTGTTGCACCCGTTATTTTCTTATATGAAATAAACTTTCAATCAGCTTTATAAACACACTTTTTGTCCTAAACTACAGTAAAATCTGGCTTTTAAACTTTCTTTAAAATAAACATTTATTTTTGACTATGTGAACATATTGTTCCAAACTGGCAAGAACTGCTCATTTACATCTTTTAACATCAACAGAATGCTAATCTAGAGTAAACAGTCTTTATTACAAACAAGAATGGCTTGAAAGTGCTGTTAATTAAAGAAATCCTCAATTCTCTGCTAGCCTGAGTGGGATGAACCACAGATTTCCCTAAGAAGGATGAACCACAATCGCATCCTATTAAGCGGCGCATCTCAGAACAAGCAGCTATGCTACAAGATCTCTGGAACCTAATTTTGGCCTCAAAGCATTTGGGAGTAGGGTGGAGGGGGACTGGAGCAATCTGTCATTAAAAATAAATAGCTCTGAAAATGTTTAAAGCTCCTCAAACTAAAATATCCTAGGGCCAAATCCTATTGTCCTGACTGTAAGCAGGAACCACCAAGAACAGCCCAGCCATTGCTCCTCATGACATCTAACTCCAAGATGACACCTGGGGGGCAGATAATGCAAACCCCTCCTCACACCAGCTCTCCTCCTTCCCAAGACCAGCTCTTTTAACTTCAGCAGAACTGCTCAGACGAGTAAATTTTTATAGGATTTGTCACACCAAGCATATACACAGCATATCAAAACCAAATGACTTAAATGTATTTGAAATTCTATCAGAATTATAAGAAAATAAAGTTTTTAAATTCTAAGGCTCATATGCCTTAAGGGGACCTCACCTCTTAAATAAATCTATGTTATTTTTCACCTAGGTCATTTTTCCAGACTCCAGATTTGCAATCAGTGAGGACACCTCCTGAACTCCAGCATAACAAGGACAAAAACCCCAAACCAAAATCTTCTGCAGACAAGTCAAGTCTGAGAGCAAGTATCAAAGAAGAGGGGAAAATAAAAACCCTTCATCAAAATGAGAGATCTTGTTTTGTAGCTGATTTTGTTAATGCCTATGATGTTAGCAAAACCAAGCCTGCCCCTCGATAAAAAAATCTGCCTTTGATTTCATGCTCTTCTGGGAATACTTGGGGGAAGAAAAAACTCTCACTGAACAAATTCATAAGATATAAACCACATTTACTGCAGTGCTCGTTTTTGTTTTAAGCCTGAGGATGAGCCCTGCCACCACACTGTTACTGGAAAAAATGATTTGATTTTCTTCAATTATCCGTTCAAGAAAACAAAGAATCAAATTGCCAGTCAGCTAAACAGCTTTTTTTCCCCCCTCTAGATAGAGGGCAACAGAACACACAGGTTTCTGGCTTATACACTGTTTGGATATAGATGACCTGCATCGTAAACTTGGTGACTTATCCTGTTATTCCTATGCTACGTGGCTTCATGAACAAACAAAGCTTCTGAGCCTCACCTATGCCTGGAGAACTCGAGGAAAAGAACATCTTACGAATGACACAGGGAATCGCAGCTCTTGCTTCTTCCGAAATTTTTACCGAGTAAGAACAACTATTGAATCCCAATGAGGCCCAAATTCAAACAAGTTCCTGTACCCGCACTTTTGGCCTCAACAGAATATGACAACTTGACTAAACTAAACACAACGAGAGACACTGAAACTAAGCAGCTAGAGGGGTCCCTCTCATCTACTATTGCACTGATAATAGTGCTGATTATTATTTTCTCTTTGATAATGACATCCCTAGTAACCTACTGTTTTCACAAGTGGAAACTAAGAGGTAAAAAACTGCAGAAAGCACAAGAGGAGTATCAGAAAGACCACGAAAAGAGCATTTTTCAAAGCACGTCTGAACTTATTTCATGAAAAATGGATCCAACATGGGATAGCCTTGCATTATCAGAAAATGAAAATAATAAAAGAATGGCAACTATGAAATTTCCAAGCAAACATATCCTTGTTTTATCTCATTTATAAGAATTGTTAGCAGTTTGGAGATTTCTTACAGCTTTCATATACATATATATATATATTTATATATTTAGTCTCATTTGTGCAAGGTAAAATCCATGTATTTTTAATCTCTGCTGTATTACTAGAACAGTACCCTGAAATCTGTTGCTCCAGCACTGTCAAAAATCCACTGACCTGTGGAAGGCAAAGGGTCAGATTTTGGTGAGCTCAAACGAGCACAGATGGGGGAGAAAGAAAAAACAAAACAAAACAAAACAATGGAGCTATGTTATCTTGCACTGACCCAACTACCCATCTGAGGATTCCGAAATGCAACTGGAGTCCTAGGTAAATCAGATTCACACATTTTCAGAAAGTAGTAGCCTGATCCTGAAAGCCTTTAGCTGAAGAACTCTTCATGTCTTCATGCAACAGTTTTGTGCAGAAGCATGCAGGATCAAGCCCTAAATTTGCTAGAAGATTGTAAGTCGATGCTTCTCTTGCATAAGGTTCAGTGCTGAGAGGTGCCAGTGGCATTCCAGCTGTAAGTGGATTAAGGACATTCGTCATGACACAGAACGGGACCTAAGTTATCAAGGAAAGAGCAAGCCTAACACACCTTTTTAACTAGGCTTGTGATTATTTTTAACCAACCATACAATGGTGTGTTTCTATTTTCATAGCCTGTATTATTATGTTATAGAAAAATGACAGTTCTATTGTGAGTAGCATATATATGTAATATTTTCTAACAAAGTGTTGGCTGCAATATTAATGTAAGTAAGTGTTTTAAAAAGTAAAAAACATGTAAATTTACAAACAAAACCCTGCTCAAGTATATAGCTTGCTTGCAATTACTATTAGTGCTGTATGTATTTTTAAACAAGCTATAATACTGTGATGATGGTGTAAACTTACTTCTGTAGGCGAAAAAATGTTCTATTTAAAAATGTCAAGAAAATGAAGGATCTAAATGTTCTTAAAGTGCTATGAACTAAAAATAAGAATTTTCACAGAATATTCTAAAGGACTCTGTGATATGCTACAGATATATTTTACAACATATTTATGAATCATACACACTATATGAGAACAACCAGTACTATTTTATTACAAAATAAATAAATAAGCAATGAATATCCTTGCCCAGAAGCTGGATAACGGTTTTTTAAGTTCCTCTGATCAATTCTGTAGGCAATTTGAAAGATAAAAGACCTGCTGCCTTACTGACAGGAGGAATACACTCCCCGCTCATTTCCCAGCCTGCCCCCACATAGATCATGTTGCTGTCTGTTCAGGCAAAGATCTCCAGAATCACAGTTGTGCTGGAAAAAGGAACAGTTTGCTAGCTGAATAAAAACAAAGCAAATGTAGTATTCATAAGATTAATATATGTATTCACAACATTTAAATCTTTTTTTTTTTTTTTTAAAAACACAGTGGCACTTCTGTTGCATGCAGTAACAATTTGCACATAGTATAGAGTCTAGGTTAGTTTTTATTGAGTGGAGACAATAAAAAGTCATCTTTGAAAATCATACTGAATAGTAATAAAGTTATAACTTGAAGAATGCAAGTATATTTCAAAATGCTTTAAAAAATACATAGCTAGAAGCATTCCAGTATTGTCGATACCTCCATATATAATTCAGAATAATTGCACTGAAATCAACAGTTCAGATTTGCACTGAAGAATCTGGGCACTGTGTCAGATAACAGTTTCACAGGGGGGCACCATCCCTTCTTCCAGCAGGGAAACTTTGTCCTCAGTGCCACCAGTCCAAAGCTTTTGTCAAGATCCTAGGATGAACAAGTGGGTTCTGCTCCACCACCTGGAAGCAGATCAAATTGGCTGTGGTGCAAGTTAAGTGTAATAACGCATCGTTCTCATTCAAACACATGCTAGTAACCTATTCCCTGAACAAGATGGAAGTGTATCCTAGGGAAGAAAGAAACGCAAATTCCAGTGTCACAATAGATGGTTAGAAACAAGACTAAGGCGTGATCGAATCTGGGAGCCAGGTAAACTTCTTCCATAGAGAAGGTCAGGGCAAATGAAAGCGGAAATTATACTGCCGCAGTGCCCAGGAAACTGGTTTTCACGCTAATTTGAGGAATATAATTTTCTCCAAAGGGTCAGTAATAAAATACAACATCACAAAACCTGTTATCAGTATACACATAATTTAAGCAATGTATATATGAAAAACCCTTCTGCATTTGTGCAGAGCTCAGAGCAATAAACTCTAGTACATCACAAATCATTCAGAAGATTAAACAGTGACTATGTGTAGCATGAAAGCTAGAAAGCAAAAGCTCCAAAGTACTTTTAACAACAGGTGGATTAATTTGGTTCAGTACTACAGCTGCTTACCATACGAATCACCCTTGATCCACCTTGCTCCTTTTATCCCCAGCAAGCACAAACAAGGGAGCAGATTAATAAATATTTCTTGATCATAGTTTTACAGTGCTTCTTTGGATCAAGACTAAAATCTACCACCGGGGAAGACAGAGGAGGGGGAAGCTCCTGTGAGAAGAAAAAGGGAGAGACATGATCTACATTTTTTTTCCTATGGCCTCCAAGTCCAAAGTTTTCGGATCACTAGTCTCAAACACTGCAGGATTATGAAATACATTATTTAGAGATTGAGATCATTTATTCTGTCGTACATCCCTAATGGCTGCTACAAGAAAACAGAAAACAAACACTCAGATCTCAGAGTCACTCCTGACAAAAAAAATGAAAAAAGGAACTGCATTAAGTGGCAGAAATAGGCACGTAACAGACATGGGCAAAATATGCTTTGGTTTTTCAAAGGACCTTTCTGAATTGCCTTTTTAAGCACTGTGCATACAAACAAGAATTGTACAGCCTTTGTGCCATACAAGTATGAATAATATTTTACAGACAAGCAAATATTGTCAGATGCCTAACAACTCACAGTTCAATGTACTTCCATAAATATTGGATAAAAGAGTAAGACAGAAATATTTCAGTATTTCTAGAGCAGATCAAGGTATTGAAAGCAAAATATCAAAACATATTCTTTCTGGTATAAAAATAATCAATCTGTATTTAGAGTCCTGGAAATCAAATTTTCCTAAGGGCTGAAAGATGCGTTCACAGGAAACAAAAACAAAATTACATTTTCAAAGAGTTGAAGTCCTGATCACCGTTTTGATATGTGACAGAGCCCTTATGAGACCTCATATGGAATAATAGGTGTCCTTTGCCCAGTGTTAAGCAGATTGCTAGACTTCAAAAGAGTCTGCAGAAATGAGGAGTCTAGTCCAAAGACACATAAGGAACAGAGATGGAGTATCTAAAAAGAAAAGGCTTATAACATTGGAAGGCAGGAGATTTAAGGGTTTTAAACATTTCTAAGGATTACAGATTAATGGGAAGAACTAAGCAGCAGTTTATGAGTTATATAGCAGTTTATGAGTTATATAGGGTAGCTATGTAACCTGCAGTCATCATTTAGAACTTAAAGTCAAGCTTAGGGGAATCTTTTGGGGGGACTACTAAAACCATCAGCTTACAAGAAAATGGAATACACTGCCTATGAAGGAATAAAGCCAACCATCTTTGAAGAATTTAGGACTGCATTATGCTTCCATTTGGGGCTCAGTCTACCCAGGATCACCTCCCAGTAACTTTATGACTCGTGTACGTCCTAGGGCCACAATACCACTGCAAGAGCAATGCAATGAATTATTCCTATCAACGATAACCAGAACGGTGGGCTGCATCTGTGACCACAGACAGCATATACCCTAGACACTGTTTTGAGGTTATAATGAAGATGATTTCAGTTTTGTCTCACCTACTGAGATCCCAGCAGAAAGTTGTTTTACCTGGATGAGTACTGGGTACTAAACTTTCACCTGGATATATTCTTTGAAAGATAGTGACTTCCCCATCTTGGAAAGCACAGAAAGTTATAACAAATTCCAAAGCATATTCAAAACAACTGTCAAAAACATTATTTTACATTTTATTCCAATCTTAATCTATGTTTTTTTCTCCTCCTAGACACCTATTCTAGACAAGTTCTATGGCTAATTTATTATCATTTCTTGTCCTGTTGGCATCCTCAGTGTTACTGATTAATTTCTGTTATAGTCTCATTATTTCAGTTCTATAAATACCACATGTCATTTTACTCCTTTCTATGGTTACTTTGCAATCTTCTTTTGCTCCTCCACCTGGGGCTCTCACTTTCAATTTAACAGGAGGCAGCGGGTAAAGATTAAGCTGAAATCCAGTAATTATACCTCCCTGCCCCAAAAAATGAAATCATTTATTTTTCTTATGGATGAAAGCAGCTGTGAGCTGCTCTGAAATCCTGCAAGTGACCTGAAAAAAAAAAAAAAACAACCCCAAACCCAATACCTACTGCTTGTCAGATTAATAATAAAAAATGCTGGCTTCTATAATTTGAAAAATGTATTTAGCTGGATTATACTGTATTGCAGCATTTGCATTTGGGAAGAACAGACAGCTCAATCATAACCCAAACTCAAGCATGCTGGGCATATCTGGTTCCACCCGCAGGAATATTAAACCACCACCCAATTCATCACTGACAAAACAGGTTGCATCCACCGTAGTTGGCATTCAGTACATGGCTGCCTGCAGAAGACTTTCCCAGTTCTTTATGTCCTTGAGTTATGTTTACCAGTTTCAGGTCTTACATTTTCTGACCTTTCTCTTTCAGCCTCTGCCATAAGTTCCTGGGATCCTCTGAAAGTTTGGGAAAGCTTCTGAGCATTTCTCCTATAAGTGTAAGCACATTCTGAAATAAAAACAAATCAAAGAATATTATTTGATTTTGGATTCCTGCCATTTGTCACGTGCTATCGTGAGTCCTATATTGGCAGCTATACCCAGTCCTTATAGAGCAACTAGTAGGCAGAACTCATCAGCACAATTTTGCAGCCTTTTTAAAACATGGTCTTTAAAAACTTTATCGAAGAGTGTGGACAGTGATCTGCCCCCTAAGGCAGGCATGCAAAAAGCTATGCTGGTCACTAGAGACCACGTGTCACTACCGCTTTCTGTGGATGGCTGCCAAGATAGATGACAGAGAACCCAATAACACTGTGTAGCTCGTACACTGCACTGGCTGCTGCCCTTGGCCTTCTCCCCTAGGGAGAGAAGAGAAAGAAGGCTGGCCTTTTTAGAAAAGCTGGAAGAAAAATAACAGAAGAAAAATGAAGGCTGACTTGAGATTGAAGTTCTCAAATCTCAGGTATGGAGTGCATGCAAATTTTAACAGAGCATGGCATGAACACACCAGTGGAAAAAAATTAAGAGAGCGGCATTATTAGGAGGAAAAAAAAAAAAAGTATGCTGTGCAGCCCATGAATTCCCACCCTGCTCACAAACACAGAAACGAAGGTCTCAGTGTTTCAGGGACTTCCTATCTATTGCTCAGGAACAACTTGCTTCTGATCCGACTGCCTTTCAAAATGTAGAAGATCATCCTAAGGAAGAGCCATAGAAGAGCCAGGAACTTCCATGAGTCTCAGCTTACATTACCCACAATCTATTTCAAAGGGATTTCCTAACAAGAAAGCATGAATTTCTGTGACAGTAGGCCAATCAGTTCTTCCAAGTGGAAATCTCACTGTATCTGCAGAGGATGCTACAGACTAACCACTTCCCGAGTGTACTATACCCAGAAATAGAGAACCTTATGTGGCAGTGACCTACAGGAATAAAGCATTTCTGAAGAACAGATGGCCAGAGAGTACTTGCTTGCAAAACCACTTTTTCTCCTCCTCTACAAGTCCTCAGGTGCTTTTCATTAGGCCTGACTTTCCTCTTTCCTATTCAGTTGGAAAGTAACAAATCACATTGCAAAATTTTAAACAGATTTAGAAAGAAAAAAAAGCTTACACCACTAGGAAAAAAAAAGTCCACGTGCATAAGCATGTGCAAAATTAAAAGCTCTAAAACTGATATTGCTGCCATTGCCAGTAGGGCCTTAGGAAGCCACAAGGTAAATATACATGTCTCAGAGTGACAGAAAAATTTTGGTATCCAAACTGTAACAATTCATAACAAGCTGTCATCTTGACCTCAATGCAACTGTTTTAAAAATGATCAGGTTTTCTTCCAGAAGTCAGTTTTCCCTTTGATCACATTCAGGTGACCATATCACATCATAGTCATGGTTAAGAAAGAGCCTTAGGAATAGTCTCTGATAGTGGTGTTCTGCTTTAGCCTCCACAGTACGTTGCAGTCTCCTATTCCGAGTCTTCTAACCCAAAAGATGAGCAAGGAAGACTAATATAGACGTAGTTATCTATTATGATATCATTTTGTTATTTACCCTTTTCTCTTGCACAGCCCATCAGAAAACAGACTGTGGAGAATTAATCAAGAGGTACCCAAAACAATTCCAGGACATCATGGGAAAGATTTTCAGCTTATATAAATCAGGTCAGATGACTTGATCAGCATGCTAGTCCCAGCTACTGTATTAAAGATACAGAGCCAAATTCTACTTTGACTTCTACTGTATTCAGGTCATTCACTGCATTGCCATAAATCAAGAGGAAGTCTGGCTTATAGATTCTTTAATTGCAGTACGTATATAAAATGCACCACAGCATTTGTTTTAATAACATTTACTTACTTTGGAGTAAATCTGTTCTTCCAATTTTTCCTGAAGTAAAGCTCTTTCCACTAGAGTCTTCTTTTGTCTGAGAAAGGTAATCCTGGCTAGCTCTGCCTTTTTCTTCGTACAGTCAGGGCATAGTGAAGATTTGTGCACTACAGCTTCTGTCACCTGAAAGATGAGAAATTGATGCAATGAGTAATGTCTGTCCTAGCAAGATGGCTGCACCATTAAGAATAATCAATAAAAATACAGATATAGAAAGTACCTAAAGACAAAGATTTGCTCTTGTAAGAAACTGTAAATTACTTCATAATCTTTGTCATAGTATCAACTTGATGAGTCTGCCTGAATGTATTCACACTAAAACACGTTTGCTTTTCCCCATGTGCTACCCCTTCTAGCACTGATAACTTAAGACTATCTATTTGTCTTTCAGAATCAGAGCACTGATCTGTAATTACCAGTTTTTCTTGTAGTAGGCAAACTCTCCTGATGCTTGAGGCTCTGTGTGCACATGACTGATTCCTTCCAGAGTAACCATAATGGCCAAAAAAATGAAGTGACATGATAGCCAATCAACACATCTGTGACCAGCCAAAGCCAAGAGTGAAGACAGTTATACTGGCAAAAATTTATTTTGCTTAGTCTAACTCATTTGACCTTGGGTGGACACTCAGCACAAGTTACAATTCTGCTGATATAAATCTGTACATGCTTTGCTAGTGCTAAAATGCATTTAGAGCACCACCCACCATGAGTTATCTTGCTTAACAAGTAACCGACCAGCCAAGAAGCCACAGTAGGTACATGATAACCAGTCTTCCCCCAGAGCAAATACATTAACTTGTGAAGGATGGATTAGGTTAACATATTTTACTCCATGATCATCACAACTCAGTATCAGGAATTGTTCATCAGTAACAATTCATAAACAACTGCCTGTCTGTAACTAGGCTGTTCTAGTACTCCTATGTGGGAACCACGCTGACAGCGTACATAAGGCCTTAAGTACCAGCCACGGGGGTTATGACTACCTGTATGCCTTTTAAGAAGAAAATAAACTCTGAGGCAATGAGTTCAAATATCTAGATGCAGTTCTGAATTGGATCAGAAAAAAAAAAACCCACAAGCAGTTTTCTCTGTAAGAAACGCAGTACTACTTACTAATTCCCATGTTAGTTTACCTACCATGAAACCCTGAACATATTTAATGGCTTTACACAAATCTCAGTAATGGTGTATTCACGAAAGATCAATTATTTTTATCTAATCTAATATACACAGGATACATGTTGTTTCACAGATGTAATAAGTTATTACAAGAGCAGTGGAACCAATCATGTTTGACTTCCTAGAATTATGTCTCAATCCCCTCTGTCTCCTTTTTCTTTGATCTCTTCTCCTGCGCGTAAAAGTGTTCTACACTGAGATGATGACGGAGGAAAACGGACAGAGAGGTCAAACAAAACCTTTTTTTTTTTTTAGAAAATGTATTTTTAAGAAGTGTCAGAGAAAGAAAAAGTAAAAATTCTACAAAATTTGGGGAGCAGAGGGTTAGATAATGTTAACAGAACAAAAGAAGCAGGTTGCTGAAATTTCAAAACAGTTAGTGAACAAGAAGCCTGAAAAAATCTCTATCCCAGAATCGACTTTAAAAGTATTATTCCCTGCTCACCTGACACAGCCTTAGCACAGGAATATGTTAACAACCACTTTTACTATGCTATACGGCAAAAAATTAAAAGGGGTGTATGTGAGAGAGATAAAAGTAAAATAAATTACTGTAATTACTATTCAAAGCTCATTTTCTGTTTTTATCAGAAATACTTCCCCAAATGCAGATATTCTGTACCAATTTCAAACAAAGTATAGACATTTGCCAAGACCCAAATTTATGGGTAAAGGCATCTGTAGGTGATCACTGCATTCACATTCATTTACAAGTACAAAGCAAGAGTGTAAGCATCACTGGAGGGAGGAAAAAGAAAAGAAAAAAAACGCAGTTTTGAGATTACTGACAGATGCAGAGCTGAAGCGAAGAGGTTTGTCAGTTTGTCAGGAAAAAAAATTGGGCTGGTGAAAAACAAAAGCTCTTCCAATTGTGTAAAGATGACAAAAATACACCTTAATAAATGAACAGATGTAACCAAGATTCTATTGGACATGCTCTAGACACTAGGTAAGTGGTAAAAAATTAAAGGGCAGAAAGCGGGGGGGGGAGGGGACAGTGAAGGTTTGTGCTTCTTGAATACTTTTAATAAGAATATTTCTCAAGATGTCTTTTTTCCTTGAAGAAGAGAGGTAAAGGGAATGGCAAGTGTTTTCAAAATAATCTTAGTGTATAAGGTACTTTCCTATTCAAAGCAGCACTCCAATCAGTCTCTAGAAATGTCGGCTACTCAGAAAATTTCAAGACCCAGACTACAAGTATGGCGGATTCTTGCACTGAAAGGCAAGAAAGCGACACACAGCATGACATTTGATCTCTATCAATCAAGAAACCCACTGAGTAAAGATTAGCTCAGCATATATCGTATGTTAATACACACTTCTGTGTTTTAAAGCCTCCCTCACATCTTTTTCCTGTTCTGCATTGCTCACCCGACCTTGATCAGAAGGTTCTAAAAAAAGTCCTCCCCTTCTCCCAAATAAACCATTTATACACCCAGACTCAAAACGTCAGTATTACAGTCACACAAAACCTCTTCTGTACTACAGTGCCACTCGACCAGCACGACAAAACCACAGAGGTACGATGGCACTGTCTGCCATGCCAAGGCCTGATTCCACACTCAACTCCAAATCTGTGAGTGGACACCTCCCCCCACCTTCACCCCCAAAAGGGAAAGCGCTGTGCAGACCTGTAAGCAGCCCGCTTCCAAGTATCTGCATGGGTACTGGGGCATAAGCGCCTTAGTGAGGTGAATATAGAGAGGCAGATCAGAAAACGTGCCAGGATTTAGCTCGCATCCGGGTAACCTCTGGTAGAGATATATGACCAACATGAGAAGAGTCAGTGGCATTTTGAACACTGACCGCTAGAGACATTTTGCAAAGAGATATCCTCCTGTCACTCAGATGTTTCACCAAGATTCCACAACCACATAATACGCAAAATACTGCTGTAAATAAAAGCTGCAAATACAATCAGAAAGCAAGGACTATTTTTCCACTTAATCTGGGGCTTATTGTGGATTCCAGTAACTGCCCATCTTGGCTTCTCTCAATCACATAAATCATTATCTTTTATCACTAGACAATATTTTAAAATGATTTGATTATTCACTAGCAACAGTTCTGCAAGAGTGTCTAATAAAAAGATGAGAGAGATAAATCTTGAAATAACAAGCAAAAGATCCCATCCAGAAGCTAGTGAGCATTGCATGCATAAGGTCTGCATGATTTGGTCCTTCTATTATGGCTTTAGTTTTTTTTCAGTAGTCTTCTCTGAAGTCTAGACAAGACTTACATTTTTTTCTTACAGTACCTGTTGCACTGTCACCCTGATATTTTCCAAGTGGATTCTATTCATTAGCTGAAGAGGAACAGTGCAGTTCAGGTCACTTGTCTCTGATTTCTTTGGTGTGAATCCATGCTGCAGCTTTCTTGGCTTGTCACCATTTGACTGCTTAGTGATCAGCTGGTGATGCATCTTGCTTATCCTAACGGTGCAAAAAGAGCAGAGAGCATCCAGGTCTCCATCTGGTACCTCAGTAACTTCTGTCAGGCATACACCAACAAAAAAAGTATCAATTACCGTATCAGAGAAAGAAAAGAATTACTGGTCATCTATCTGTGTGACCTCTTATTACCTTGTTAATAAAGAACAAAACTGATGTCAACCCTGCAGGCTGATACACATAACAGAGGCACAGAATTTAAACAGGAATCTGGGTAATAACTGTAGGAACTCGCACAACAGACATCGCTATGAGTAGTCTCAAAAGGGGAGAAGGGATTAGAACCCTAAAGAAATAGACTACTTGATGATATCATCAGCACAAATACATTAGTAGAGCAAGGACAGTGCTTGAATACTCTGACGTTAAATAAACTGACTTTCAATGACTGCCTAATACAGATTTCGCTTCGTTCCTACCAGAACCTGCACCATGCTAAAAGAAAATGAATTAACACTTAAAGAGAGAATATTTATCTAGTAACTCTAAGCAGCATTTCACAGCCCCCCCCCCCCGCCAAATTAAGGTACGGCCTATTGAAGAAACTTCTGGAAAACATCTCAAATATATCATACAAACTATAGTTTGGTATTGCTCCACTTTGTGTTTTTTTTTTTTTGGTGGGAGGGAATGTTATCCTGTTAGAAAGCACTTTCCTCTGAGGCTTCAGTGATCATTTTATATCATTTTATAAATTCTTTATATAATCTTGTTTAAACAGTATTTTTCACTCTCCTTTTCTCTCTTTCCTTCCAGTGGCATAACTAAAACTGAGATTACACTTGGGATGGACAGATAAGGACAGATTTAGAACTTCATTCAATGCTTAGCAGGAGTTTTTCCACTGACTAAAAAAGAACCAATTAATATAGACTAGCTAACATAATATTTTTTTCTGCCCCCGATACAGTTTCTGTATTTCATGAGCAGCAGTGTATAATGATGCTGTGTGGGTACTAGACAGTCATAACAGACATCCACTGTTTTCAACTATTTAAACAGGGGAGAATACTTCTCTACCTTTCTTATACAACTTTCACTTTTATGCGACTACTAAACCCAACTGAACACTTACACGTGTGCAATTGAAGGAGAAATGAGAAAGAGTCAAAACGTTATAGAAGGCATTACTAGAAACCTCTTGAATGCCTTTGCATACAGTTAAGGCTAGTGCAGCATTCCCTTCTCAGGACTCCACTCTGCGAGCCAAAAAAAAAAAAGTAAATAAAAACCCCTAAAAAATTAAAAAGCCAAAAAAAGTCAGAGAATTGATAATGACTACACAGGTTAAGGATGGTGGGTTTGTTTAACTCAACATATTCAGAAACATCAAATAACGCTGCCTACTCAGCTGGACACTATGATTATACCACTTAAGCTTTCCCTATTATCTGTTTCACTTGTTTTTGGTGGATTCCCCTAATTTGGTTTTATTTTTTCCAGACAGTCACTGCTTGTATGACAACTACTGCATCAGCACTCCAGGCCTTTGGGATACCTTAGCATAACCATAAGATAAATTCTTAAAACATCGGAAGAAATAATGTAAAACTTTTCCTAAATACACAGGGATGAATTTAATCTCAAGTACCCAAGACATTGCTCTGGAATTTTATAGAGAAGCAGAACACCTCTTCAGAAGTGTCTAGATCCTTATGAAGAGTAAGGAAATCTGTATTTAAAACAAAGTGAAGTAGAAATCAGTGAACCTTGCTTTATGGATGACAAGGAAAAAGTGTGATTAACTGCCAGAGTTCAGAATCCATCATCGTAAAGCAATTTATTCTTCCTTAGAACTTAGTAGATCAAATTCACTAAAGATAAAGTCATCGTGATACTTCCTAGACAGATGAATAAGAATTAAAAATACAATATATATATATATATATATTTTTTTTTTGGTGGAATCATGAACATTTGAGTAGGAAAAGATCACACAGTCATCAGCTCATTTCCCTTACAAGTGTACTGCACAATCCCTGTAACACATGGCAAATGACACGCCAGGATGGGGTTTGATTATTCTAAGAAAATATATGCTTGTTCATTTATGCTGCAGATCAAATGCATAAAAGGATTTTGAAGTACTATTGTAAAAAAAAAATTAGAACAAATCATTTACGTATACCGAGTACACAATTGGGCAAGTAAAATACATGGCGCCTGCCAAACATTTTGTGACAATTGCTTATCAGCCTAATTCGTTAGCTTCAGTTGCACGGTGGCACATTTTAATTTAGAAATAGTTTGTAACAGTGCATGGATTGCATGCTACCAGACACCCATCATTTGCTCATATGCACCTACAGACATTAGAGGCAATGCTAGCCAAGAGAACAGGGATTTTTAACCATGACTGCACAACCTATTTCAAAAAGGAGTTTCTAGTTTAATATGAATTCAAGTTTAACAGTAAATAAGCTGAGAAAGAACAAAAAAAAAAACCCCTCAAGATCTAGGACTACAGTTTTACCGAAATAAGAAAAAAAAGGTAAAGAAAGTCAGAAGAGTTAAATTTATTAAAAGTAGTCTTTTAATTGTACAACGACTGTTTACACTTTCAGATTTTCTCATCGGTGTACAAGATTCGCCTGTCATTCAGTCAAAAGGAAAGAGATGCATACCAGAGGATCTATGTATAAGCTTTGGTGTTTGCTTTTATTTCTTGCCTGTCTTTCAGACAAGAAATGCTCTCCTTTATCCTTTCCTTTCCACCTTTGGGCTAGACACGCTCGAATGCTAATCTCCGTTTGTGGTGGCAGACTTGAATGTCACTGCATGTCTGTCTGTAGAGAATCCCTGTCAGTGCCAATTATTGTTCCAGAAACATGCTTTCCTGATGCTTAGTTGCCCCAAAATCCTGCATTCCCACACCCTCTTTCTTGGGGAAGAGCAAGGTAGGAAGAGGTGACAAGAAAAGCAAAACCAGATACCAGAACAGACATCAGATCAGAACCACATATCATACATTAGGAAGACCACAAAGCACAGAGCATGTAGGAATTAAAGCACAACAAACTGGACCAACAAGTTACTCTGATTATAGAAGCACTTGATGCGCACCGATAGAGGTAAACTAATCTCTGTGTCTACATTCTAAACCCTCTTATGTGGCTTACAACTCAGTGATCTACATAGGTTTTCCTTTCTATATGCAACTATGTTTTTAAATATGACATGTTAAATCTATTTGAGTGAAAAACAAAAATAAAGAAAATTTATCATTTTCTTGGGTTTTCCTTTTACGTCTAACTTGAATTCAAAAGCAAAAATTGGCAGGCATTTTGTTATTGTTATGCTCTACTACTATCCTATTTTTAAAAAAGGAATTGTAAAATATGCAACGGAAAGATAATTTGAGAGGCAGTAATCACAACTTAAGTGATAACTACTTTTCAGAAAGATTTTAACTCTGCATCTCAAGATAAGATTTTCATAATTACCTAAATTGCTTTTGTACAACGGAGCACAACAGTTCAGATTAGGCAGACAAGCCTAACGGGCAAAAGCAAGGTCTGAAAGAGTTGCACAGATAACACAGAACTGAGATGAGCAGTCTGATAAATCAGGTTTTTACCATTAACTATAAAAATGAATTCAAAGGCAGAAAAGTTCCTCCAGCATGGTGCAGGACATCCTCAATTTCTACTAACGTTGGTGAGAAGTGACAACAGTAAGGACCTTGCACAGAATCCGTCTTTCAGAAGATACTCATTCTTTTCTAGAGAAAGAAATAAAATTCTTTCCCAGCTCTACAAAGACATTAACGAACTAGATGAACCTTCTTTACAGGCAGGAGTTTCAGTGTGGATGTTGCTAGTTGAAATTCCCCTTCCAGCCTCTATCTATGGATCAGAGATGTATCTGGCTAGATAAACCCACTCAGCTCACCAGATATGACTGAATCACAGTGGGTTTGTATGCAGTTGTGACGTGCTCTGACATTTCCTTGAAGCAAAAGAGATATAAGAATATTATTTTACTGTAGGACAGTAAAACTTTTGAACAGACTAGTAGGAAACAAATTAGAACAGAAGTCTGGAATCTCAGGGCCTAACTAGATCTGCAGGAATTCCACACCCTTTGCATGCTACTAAGCAGTAAATTTTGGTGCTGAAAGGTCAGCAACAGGAAAGAGCGCCAGTACAGACTGCTGCTGGACTCCGACTTTATGATCTACTTACTGGGTAACTGCTCCCTTCTCCAAACAGGGCAGGATGCTTTTTCAATTCCTATAAACAAGAAAAGTTCCAATACAAAAAACGACCTTCTGAAGCAGATCTTTCAAACGCCTGTTTTCTTGGAATCAAAATATCAACTACAGCCAACACATAGCACTACCTGCATCTAGTGAGTGAGTTAACGTTTCTATGATTCCATACGCTACTACAGTATTTGCCATTTCTCAGTGGTAAGTAGCAGTTTTAACTCCAAATTGCCATGCTTTTATTGGGAGCTAAGTATTTACAACTACATATATAAATTTTTTTTTTTTTTATAGTTATTAAATGCTACAAGCTTCTTAGAAGAACTGTAGAATGCCTCAGGGCTATCACGTTTTACCTCTTAGCCTTCCAGCTCCTTAAACCTGGCTGTTAATGTGCTAAGTCAATAATTAAATGTTTGGGCATGTGGAAACTTGTTCATACAGCGAATACAAACTTGATCGACTCAGTAGACAGAAATACGCCGGACAAGCCAGGAAAAAGATCTGATACAGAAAAATAAAGCCTTATGCTTCCCTCAGTGCACACGTATTTATGCGCACATGCCAATTCCTTTTACCTTAAGAACAGAAACCATAGGTATTTTTTTACCTGCATACCACTAGCATAATAACAATGGTGGAAATGTTAATTTCGACTGACCATCTGTATTTCAGCCACAAGATTATCTGACCCAATTCAAACATTTCTGTACCTCTAAATACTGTAACAACTATAGTGCTCACACTTTTGTTAGCACTGGTAACACTGCAGAAAAAGGAATGAGCAAAAAGCTTAGTGTAGACATCTACATACACAGGCGAGAGCAAATTCCTGAATAAAGTACAGGCCAGGTACTTCTAAAAGTTCCACTTGAACTTTCAGAAACACCTAAGCTGAAGAACTGCTGTTTCCTGTAGTAAATTTTCAAGTTGACTAATGGTCTTTGGAAAAATTGTTGTGGAACAGTAGCCCTTTAGGAGATACGTTTGCCTAATAACAGCTAGTTGGTACAAAACTGGGGCGAGAGGCAGGGAAGATAGATAGGCAGACAATAACAATGACAAAACTTTCTCATTTTTCTTGAGACTTCTTTCAAGCTATAAATAAAGCTAAGAAAAATAAAAACAACATTTTCCAGGGCATTCCCATATGCAAATCAGAAGTTTATTTACATTTAATCCTATCAGCAGTAAGATATTAAAAAACCTCGTTGTATTACCTGAAGTAACATGTATGCTCAATGCATATACATTACCTTTTTTTAAACCGAAAACCTACATACACAGAAAAAACCACACACCCACTCCAAGTAGATAAAATAATAAGAGATTCCCATGACTTCTGAGTACTGAATTATTAAGTGAAAGGGAAGCAGACATTTATACATGTCATTATATGAAAGTTGCTGTGCCTATTTTGAGCATGTACTGATATTCTACTGCAAAAGATGTAGTACACAGCTAAGTGTATGATTGCTGCCGGTGGATTTGGGAATAACCAATCACATGACAGTATTTTTTACATGAAAGAATAAACATGAACCTTGTTTTCTGTTCTTCATATTGCTAGCAGTTGGAAGCACTGTAAAAATTAAACCGAAAAGTGCTTAGCTGCCCTGATAAGCGATAGGACAGGCAGGCAGACAGAAGAAATGGCATCATTTCATAACTCACCTCAAGCTAATGAGACAGAACAGGCTACTCAGACTCAGACTCAGTAATCAGACTGACTTCACTTACTCATAACAGTGCACAAAACAAAAGTAGGTTTCTTTGAGCAAAACTACAGAAATTTGAAGTTGTTGGGAAGACTGTATTCTCTTAGTCTTTAACTTTCCAGGGAAAACCCTGTATAGACGGTTAGCTTCCTTAAGGCTATACTGTTTATTAATCACGAAGTGAATCCAAACCTCTATCAGGCCCTCTTAAATTTCTCTGTGAATCAAAAGGTCACAAAATACTGATGTATTTTAGGAAAACTACTGTGGAGACTAGAGTCCCTAGTCTAGTCTAGGAACTAGACTCTCTGCTGTGGATCTACATAGTTGTCTTTTCACTTCTGACTACGCTGCCATCTTGGAAGTCCAGTAATAATAAGAAAAACGCTAAAGATTGAGTCAGGAGTGCCTACCATTGACTCACCGCTGTTGTGAGTAAGCTACACTTAAGAATAACTTTAAAATGATCTTATGTCTTGTTTTTGTATGACATATGGAAGGCTTGAGGATATTCGTACTCAAGTGCGGTGTCACAAAGTATCTGGGCAGGAGGCTCTATCTCTGATCGATGAATCGGTCTTAAAGGCGACCTACAAAACTTTTGAGAGTTTGTTCACTTTTCACATACATACAGACTGAGGAAGATTCACCTTCTGCTTCAATTATTTTTTGCTTAGCTACTGCTTTCTTGCTCTTCTTTTTAATTAAAAATAGTACCTCTGACCCACTTTATAGGAAAACTTGAGCAGGACTTGCATCCCACCATCTGCTCTTGCAGTTGCTTTCATAACAAGCGCATGCAAACAGCATCCTTCTTTCTTCCCTTCCCTTCTCCTCCTCCATCATTGTGTTGGTTAAAGCTGTTTCATTGTTCCTGTCCAAGTTGGTATCCTGCTGCCTCCCTTAGATGGGGAAAGGAACCAAAATATTGCTGATAGGAGTAATAGAATTGACCAATGGCAGGGGCAGCATTTTGCACAAAGTCTAAAATTACATTTATTTTGGAAGAAACAATCCCACCAAAGTCCTAGTACCTGTACAGCTGGTGAGAAAAAGCAGGAAATATTAAACACTGCAGTAAAAATTTTGAGTTTTTACAATTAAGTTTAAAACGTAGATACATTTTTATTACAGTAGGTTTATCCAGACCTTGTGATAATGCATTACTAGGATGATGTCATGTCAGGAGCATCAAAGCAATATGAGCGATGGAAGACAAACTGTTTTCCCAGAAGGCATAAGAGAGACAAATATTGTACTTTGCTAATTGCCTGGCTTGACTTTAACAGTTTATACATAAAATTTAAGTCTAGCTAAAAATCTACATCACCTTTCAAAAGAAACAAGAAAGGAACAAGAAACTTCCACTAGAGTTGCTGAACTCACCAGCCTGAGTTTTGATGACAGATTTGTCTTGCTTAATGCCAGCTTCTTTATTTTTCAGAAGATCAATCCACTTCCCCAAGAAATCTCTTTCTATAGTTGCAGATTCTGCTATTTCAGACTGCTCCTCTACAATGAAAAAAGGTAGCTTAAAACATGCATTGTGAAGAAAACAGGACTGAGACAAAATAAAAATAAAGCAGGAGGCAAATAATTCTTCACTTGAAGATGAGTGAGTTTTCTCCACTGAGGGAAAAGAAACCCCAAGCCACAGGGCTATTCAGAGGACACTGGTGATTTGGGGGCAAAATATACTGAGCAAGCTTTTGTCAGACAAAAACATCTCATACTGCTCATTTCTAATCATCCCTTGGAAAGACAACATCAGCTACTCTGAGAAGAACAGAGACTAATTATTAGGGCTTGTTAACACATTCAATTTTGTTTGCAATGCTGACTTAACACCAATCTACCCTCCCTCTCCCTCAGCCCCACCACTTATTTTCAACGCCGCATGGCCTTTTCTTTTGTGGCAGTACAAGCATTCCCGAGAGCTTAAGAGAACTGGATCCAGGAATTGATCCAAGGGAAAAATAATACAGGGGGAAAAAAAGAAGAAATCAAATTTTGTGTCAGTCCCCTGTTATCTAGATTGTTCCAGTACAACTTCAATTCTGCAGTAACTGAGCAAATTGCCAAGGCCTGGAAGTGAAGAGCTGGATGAAGCCAAAAGACTTAAGAGGTCTGAAGAGACACTGCCATTGACAACAATATACTGTTTCCAGGGTACTGATAGGAAATTCAGTGGGCTTATACAAGGAAATAACGTGTCCCCATGGGGACACCGGCATGACAGGCTTTCTATAGTTTGTTTATTGTTTATGTATGCTGCTCTCAGAAAGCTATATACTGCAGAAAGCTATCAATTTTCCAAAACATTTTTCCATGTATTATTCCCTAGTTTCTCATTTAACTAGTAGTATTCAGAAAACTCTACGATTTTATGAAATATTAACCTGGTAAACATAGAAAGTGATAACACTTTTTAACGTATTCTTTATCACTTCTTGAAAACACCTCTATATACAGAAAAAGGATTCCTCTAAGCATGCTCTCCTTGATGAACTCCTCTTTGAGGAATAATTTTTGAAATTTGTTAAGTTTCCAGAAAAAGGTTTATTAAAATCTATCATTTGTAAAAATGAAAATCTTAAGCCAGACTGTCAAATTTAACCTGTTAGATACAGTTCAATCACATAAACGTAGCCTGAATAAGACACCAAGACCAACATTATCTCTTAATTCAGATTCTGAAGCACTGATCGCTAAGGCTATGTTCTGTTCTAGGATAAACGGGGTTTATACTCATGTAGATATAGCTGCTGAAAAGTTTTGGCCTATACTGTTGGGATGTTATGCCTAAACACTATTTAAAAGAGATTCCCAATAACAACAGTGCTAGTATGCTGTTTATATATGTAGACAAGCCCTTATACCAAGGACAGATTTAAAAAAAAACACCAAAAAAAACCAAAAAAAAGCCAGTGTCTTCAAGTACTCACTATACTTTCCAGAGTAAACTTGGAAAAAAGAAGATTGACAGAGAACCCCATAGAAATGGAAAAAAAAAAAATAACAACTAACAAACAAGGTTAAGTCAGCTAACTTATGCCCTCCTGCCTTTTTTTAATCATTCATCTGATGCAGCTTTCAGGCACTAAGTCCCCTCAAGTGTTTCAGGTCTTGGACCTTTCCCTGTGTCCTTGGAAAACACACTCTACAGCCCAGCTACTTTTTGTATATGGTAACTCACTCAGTATTTTGCAGAATTGTTTAACATTCCAACGAAATTTAAGCATCACAAGATTACTAAGGAAAAGTTTCCATGGCTAAAATAATACTCTTCTGCATATAGTTGTCAGTAAATCCTGAGAGGGCAAAATATAGATCTAGCTGAAACATAGTGAATCCATGTTGTTTTTTGAATAGCAAAAACACTGTATGCAATTTTTACATTTTTATTTTTGCTGATTCAAGTCTCCACAGATGTAAAGCTGTGAAGGGCAGGTCTCAAGCATGGTAAACTCTGCATACCTGCATGATGTTGGCCTGCCAGCTGTGATATCCTTTCCAGCACATCTGATACAGCAGACCTCTCTAAATCCTCTGTGGAACAATAAGACTCAGTTGGCTCACTCTCATATTGCAAGCAGGCTTCTTCCTCCTCGCTGAATGGCTCAAATGTTTCTTCCGAATAGTCCAGAACAGAGCTACTGTAACTCTGGCCCAGTTCCACCTGCCCCTCTTCATAGTTAGCAAAGTTATCAGCTGTGGTGGTCATCACAGTGCAGCACTACAAAAAAATAAAAATAAAAAGAATAAAAGCACACACACAACAATTTCAATTGTATAGGAAGAAATGATTGGATTATTCATAGTCCTGAGGCACATATAGAGAATGATTACAGCTCCACCCAAATTTAGCTGCCAAAACAGGAGGATGAAATAACTACTTAACCAACACCCCTCAAAGCACTACCGCTGACAAATGTAGTGCATCATTAATCTCTGCTAGATGAACATATAATAACAACATTGAACATTAACAACAAATCCTGAGCAACATTCACTTCAAATTTGTGTGAATTACAGGTAACATTTGAATAAAATCATTCATGAAAACAAAAGATGAGAAAAAAACTTGGATTTTCTGGGAGTTATTTTTAAGCCTCACACCACTGGGAAACGAAAAGCATCTCTACTTAGATTTTATGTCTAGAAAATTAGAAAGACTATGCAACAAGCCTCAGCCACTTGATGCTCTCAAATGAATATAGTCTTACTCTCAGGGTGAAAAAAGGAACAAAGTTATCCAGAGTCAAGCTCCAGGAGCAAAACACAACCTCAAATAGGTAATGTGCTATTGATACATTTTAAAGCGTTAGTCTTTCTTACCCTACCCTCTACCACCGGAATGATGTACTACAAGCCCATCCTCCTTTGAATCTAAAGGCCCAAATAACTTTGTCTGGAAAAAATTTTGCATTATTTTTACCCCCTACTCCCTTAAAGGGAGGAGCATAATTATATGGGCAATACACTTTTGGAAAGACGCTTGTAGCACTGATAGCGATGGCTCCTCCATCAGGACGAAGGGAACACCAACATGATGATACTGGATAGACAAAGGCACTTTCTGCCATGCCTGACTACAATGCCTGAATCTCAGGTATGCCACTGTACTCTGTGTTTGCTGGTGGTTTTCAGCGAACTTCATTTTAAAGGCGCTGACTTTAGCCATTTCTCTATGGAACGTGCTGCTTGTTTTAAGTGACACTTTTACTGCCAAAGTCTTCCTGTGCGTTGTGCCCTTCAAATAAATTCAGGGCTTCTTTCCTGGGCCTAGGCATCCAAAACCCATCGGCAGAGCCGAGCGTCTAGGTTTTTGAAGGCTTTCCTTTTGTTTTAACAGGGTCCCAAAAACTAAAGAATGGCTCTGACCTAAACTTTAAATATTAATAAGCACTAAGTAATTCTTTTCTTCATCACACCAACACTGATTCAGGCTGGAAATTGGTTAACGAGATCAGGTCTACTGGAGAAAAACAATAGGAAATGCAAACAGAGAGACAATTAGTTCTTCAGCACAGAGCTGACCTAAGAAGTGGCACTTGCAGAGGAAGCACTTCTTCCTCAGTGTACTTTGAGGATAGAAAAGGAATGAGAAAATGAGTTTTGACAAATAACAAGGCAGGCTGAACCGGAACTACTTCACAGAGTCAGATATGCTTGATGCTAGCTAATTTGCCACAATGAAAAATAGGTATTTATCACATCACTAACAGATAAAGATATCTTACAGGGCACAAATACACTTGTAAATAACAAATAAAGCATTTTCAGAAACTGTTGCAGCAGTTAACCTACAGCTTTTACTCCTCACAAGGATGAGGTAGTATCTACCGCATCAGACTTGAGGAGCAAGCTCAGCCCTTCAGTAAAGCTGTTGGAAGAGAACCGTTTGAACTCGTTTTTCCACTAATCAATTGGGCTTACAAGCATGGCATCCAAACCTTCCCTCACCGCTGAGCAAAACAGTTGCTGTGGCCTACAGCCACAGAAAATTTGAGGAAAAGAAACTGTTTTTCCTCAGCAGGCAAAAGATGTGATTATAAGGCACCCCCCCTACACACACAAAAAACACTACATTTCCACCAAACAACGGCCGATTAAGAAACTCTTCTCTATGTACTTTTAAGTTAAAGCACTAGGCAACAGACAGAGCCACACACATAGAAAAAGACAAAAAAAAAACTGAAGGCCCTGAGGCCCCGGCAACATTTGACATCTCCTCCTCCAGTACGGCTCGCTCAGGGAAGCCCACCAGCGCGCTGAGCACGGGCAGCTCGCTACACCTACCCTACTGCGCTACGAGACGCCCGCAGGCGGCCGCAAGGACTCCGGGCGAGCCCCGGG